GAGTCACAGCATAGCAATCATGGTCAGTATTGCTACTTCCTGTTTTCTTTGATTTACCAAATTCTAGCCCATTTGGCAAAGAAAACCGTGCTCTCTCTGGTTTCTGAACTCTCCGCCTTTTCTGCATGTGGGTTGGACACTTGTGTTCACCTTCCCTTTCAGGTTCCATCGCCACGTCTGGAGGGTCCAAATTCCAAGCGAGGGAGGGCAAATTTGTCTTTTAAGTCACGGGAGACCTCAGGAAGAAAAGCCCATGGTAGGTTTGGTAAGCCAGAGGAGCGGGGAAGCCTGGGGCTCCTGGGTACAAAGACGGCCCCACCTCCATGTGTAAGACCCATCTGCGGTGGGAACAGCCGAAGGCTTGAGAGCCAAACGGCCTCGTCCTGCGTGACTCAAGGGACACAAGAGTGGCCCAGCTCTCCGCAAAGCCCGAAGGTCACAACCCACCCGGGAAAAGCATCCGGTCAGTGTCAGGGGAGCCCCCACTGGTCCTCACTGTGGCTTTTGTTCCATTTCCAAAACACAAATTGTATTTATTTCCCCTGGAAAAAAAAAACCACCCTGCTCCCCTCTGTTAACCAGAAGTATGACATTTAAAGCAAAGATTTTTAATTCCATAAATTGTCTTTCTCTGTGCTCAGAGGCCTAATTTCCCACAGGGCAGCCATGTTTTAAAGAAAAACTCCCCCTTTCTGTAATTCAGGGGTTTGTTTTCCATTCATGTGCTGGTTATCAGACTCTCCCCAGAATGTTCCTGCCTCAGCAGAAGGGGGCTCGGAGCCCCCAGGCGTGAGGCTTCCCCTAGAGCCCAAGGTCAGCCCTCTCCTCCCTGACAGTGGTAGAATGTCCCTCCCACGGGCTGCTGGGGGCACGGAGCTTTGAATTCATGTTTTCTCTCCTTTCCCCAGCTTGTCCTCCCTTCCAAACTGCTCTGGGGTGCACACTGCCGCTCCACACCCTCCAAGCAGTCTCCTCCATCTCCCAATTACTCTCATCACTTCAGAGCACCCACCCACCCCCTGATGCCTCCTTGACAATTACCAGCAAACCCCATCCAAACACTAGGCAGTTGCTTCCCTACCAAGCTCGGTTTCCAGAATGACAGGGATGTTGACATGAAATAACTATGTAGTCATTTTTTTAAAAGAAATAAAAAGGCTGAGATTTTCTGCTTGCGATGGCAGAGGAGGTAAATGCTGAGCTTACCTCCTCTCGTGACCACATCAAATACAACACTGAGAATCACCTGAAGTCTAGCTGAACTGAGCCCCTACAACTACAGACATACAGAAGAAGTCACATGGAGACTGGTAGGCGGGGCGGAGACGCGGAACAGGCTCGTCCCACACTCATGTGTGACCATTAAAAATCAGGAGGCACATCTCAGCTGCAGAGGTCCCCCTAGAGGAGCGGTGGTTCCCAGCCTCACACCAGGCTCCCCAGCCCAGGGTTCCAGTGCCAGGAAGAGCAGTCCCCACCACTTCAGGCTGTGGAAACAGCAGCAGCTGTGGCTGAGTGAGATACAGGGCAGCTAAACTTCCAGGTGCTCCTTTTGAAGGGGTCATGCACGGACTTACTCTCTGACGGACTCACTCACTTTGAGCTCCAGTGCTGGGGCAGCAGCTCAGAAGGTGCCGGGAACTGAACTGTCTGATTTCAGGGTGAGGGCTAGAAGGGCAACTTTCTTGCTGGATGGAGGAGCTGAAGGAAGCCATTGTTTCTTTGTTGAGACCTCCCCCTCCCTGCATGCAGACGCCATATCTGAGTCTCCATGAAACTGGCTATCACTTCTGTTCTGCACCACTCTCATTCCAGAGACCTGACCCCACCTAACTTTTGGGCACACCCAACCCTCTTCCAGTGGCTTTTCCATACAAACAACCTGCCTTAGCTCATGCTACAGACTTTCATAAAATCTCTCAAAGTTTCATAAAACCCAAACAAACAGCATCTGGCTTCAGTGTGTCCCATACCTCTGGTTGAGCAGCCCTAAGCCCAGCACTGGTGACAGCTGGCCTTAGTTCGCAGATTGGCCTCTCAAGGCACCTCTAAGCCCAGTGCAGAAAGCAGCCATTTGTGATTGCTTTGTGGCTCATACCAGGTGGCCCTGGGCAGAAAACAGGCTACAGCTAAACTTGGTCTGCAGTGGGCCCCCTCCCAGGAGGCGCCAGGGCTGGCAAACCTGGTGGCCATCTTAGGACCAACCTGGAGCATTGCTCAGCTGCCTCCAAGGATGACACACCCAACGGACAGACTGGGCAGACACCAGAGCCTTGCTAAAGCAAACCCTGCTCTGTAGGGTCAGCCCTTGCACAACAGCTCCTCCACTGTAGTCACAGCCAATCCTCACAACCAATCAGCCTGGGGGCCAATCCCTCCTACTGAGGTGCAAACAGCAACCAAGGCTCAACTACAATAGGAGGGCACACACAATCCATACAAGGGTAATACCTAGAGCACCCAGCTCTGGTGACCAGGGAGACTGCACTACTGGGTCCCACAGGACATCTACTACATAAGGCCACTCTACTAAGGCTGAGAGGCATAGCAGCTCTCACAGAAACAAACACAAGGAGGCAGGCCAAATAGGGAAACAAAGAAACACGTCCCAAATTAAAGAACAGAACAAAGCTCCAAAAAGATAAAATAAAATAACTAAACAAAATGAAGAGAAGCAATTTACCAGACGCAGAGTTCCAAACACTGGTTGCCAGATGGGACAGGGGTTGGGGTGAGTGAGAAAGGCAAAGGGATTAAGAAGTACAAATTGCTACACAGTAGTCATGGGGATATAGGGTGCAGCATAAGGAATAGAGTCAATAGTATTGTAATAACTATGTATGGTGTCTGATGGGTACTAGATTTATAGGGGTGATAGATGGAGGGGGTTGGGGGAGCAGGGTGAAAAGGTGAAGGGATTAAGAAGTATAAATTGGTGGTTACAAAAAAGTCATGGGGATGTAAAGTAAAGCATAGGGAATATAGTCAATAATATGGTAATAACTATGTACAGTGCCAGATAGGTAAGAGACTAGTCAGGGGGGTCACTTCTTAAATTATATAAATGTCTAACTACTATGCTGTATGCCTGAAATTAATATAAAATAATATTGAATGTTAAAATAAATAAAGTGTAAAAAAGGCATAATTATTTTTAAAACAAATTAAAGAAATGAAGGAGACTTAACAAGTCATTAGAAGTAAGATGGCAGAGTTAAAAAAAAGAAAAGAAGATGGACTTCAGAGTTAGACACCTGACGTGGCCCACACACAGCTCTGCCACTTAGCTGTGTGATCTTGGGCAAGTGATTTTACATCTTTCTCACCTCATCTACAAAAGGGGGATGTTGTCTCATATTGTGCAACACTGCAGTGAGGATTTAAAAAGAATACTAGCATATCTTATGATGCCTGGTATAGATTAAGTCCTGAATCATGCAATCATTTCTATCACCCTCTAAAAATGCTAAAAATCAAGCAGTTCTCCTCCCAAGTGTTTTACAAGTGTATTAGAAAGCAAATTTTTAAGGTACGCTCATGTCTTTCATATTCTTCTTCTTAAGAAGAAAAGGTATGGATGTTCTGGACTTTATAAACGTCTTACTTTGACGAACTTTGCTTCACGGGAGGTCAAGTGCTTGCATGCGTATTTCTCGTATTTTAAAGCCTTAATTTTCTTGTGTTTATTTTAATTCCTCTTAATAGAGGAATCTTTAAAAATTTTTGTTAACCTAGCTTATGATTATTGTCTCCCTTAGTCTGTTGGGTTCCTGATATTAATTATTGTTACATTCCAATTACTTACATCCTTAAGAAAAGAGAAATAAAAAGGCTGTTGATGACTCTGAGCCGCTCCATGCACACAGAGCTTTTCCCACCGTCATGAATCGAAAGGGGCAGGAAGAGGCCATCTAAGTCTGGGCAGGTCACAGGTCCTGGCAGTCACAGGTCTACACCTGTAGTGACTCAGCAGGGGGGAACAGCGACGCCCCAGTAACTGCCATGTTCCTGGGTCCCAGCCTACACCGAACAGCCCAGCCAGGAAGACAACGTGGCCACAGACAGAGCAGTCCCTGGACCAGCCGTCCACCTGCAATTTGACACCAGCAGCTTGTCCTCTAATGCCTCTTGGTCAACACAGAGCAAAGCAAGAGTGGAGGACATGCCATCTGGGCTGCATTGCAAAAGATCTGGCTCCTCCAACCATCTGCACCTCGTTAACAAGCGCCCCTGGACCCGCCATGGGCATGGTGGGGCTGGCCACTGGAGGATGAGGTGTTCTACTACACCCCCATTACTTGCTGCCTCAATTTGAATTCCAGAAATGTCACTTGTTTAAGCAGTTCAGTGACTAGAGCACCTCCCACAATCTAAATGCTCCCCGAACTGCCTCTGTTGGCAAATATAAAAGGATATTGTTTGTTCACTCTTTCCAAACAGACTTCTTCCATCCTAAAAACCTGTGGTCTCCCTCGAGCTACCCCAGCCAGACGGTGGACAGTGGTCGAAGTCCAGTCGCTGCTTGGGTTCAGCTCCCAGCTCTGCCACCTCCCCGCAACATGACTGTGGCTTAAGCTCTCTGAACCTCAGCATGCTCAAGGTGAGAGGAGGATCATGAACATGAGAATCTCCCTCACTGCGTTGATTATACATGTAATAAGCTAAACGAGTGCCTGACAGTAGCAAGGGCTCTGCATGAGTTCTACTGCTAGTGCCGTTATTCGCTACTTGTGTCCAGATATCACAGAGAAATCCACAACCTAGAATCCAGCAACTTCTGCACCATTTGACACCTGCCAGTTTCATTGGATGTTTCAGAACTGACGAGTAGCTGTGCTTAAATCAAGGGGTGCATGAAACCACGCCTGAGGCTTAAGATTCATGTGCATACGATGGACGGTTATGGTATCATCAAACAAGGGACGCTCTCCCTGCTCTGTCCTTGGCGCCTCCTTCCTGGCTAGCCACGCCCCATGGACCCAGGTGAGCATGGTACTCACGGAGGTGGTGCGCGTAGCGGAGGTGGAACACGTCACAGCCATGCACGTGATGGTAGAGGGTCTTCTCGATCAGGTCCTGTGGCTCGTACCCGGTCAGCTCAGTCACCCTGGGGGAGGACGGGGTGGGGGGGGCTCCATGAGTTACTCCACTCCGCAGATTGCTTTTCGTTTAAACTAATATTGGTTTTGCCAACTAATCAAGTGCTAAAAGGCTGGGGTGGTGGGGAAATGTTGATTTTGGAAACTAAGAATGATTTTTTTTTTACAAGAAGAAAGTCTTTGAACTCTAGCCCAGTGCAGGATGTAGCACTATTCATGAATGTTCTCCTGCAACCGCTGGCTGGAAGGATGTTTGGGATAGCTTAGAATCTTATCCCTTTTCAAGGTGAAGCTTATCTGAGGACCCTTAAGAGTGAACTCTGATACTGATATTGCAAGAAAGCTGCCAAGGTGAGAAAGAACCCCCTCTTTGGGGGCTTTTGTGGGATAGCCCTTTGTGAAACTTTCTAAAAATTATTATGGTAAAATATGCAGAGCATAAACTTTACCATTTTAACCATTTTAAGTGTACAATTCAGTGGCAATAATTCCATTCACAATGTTGTATGATCATCACCGACATTTCAAGTTTTTCATCACCCCAAACAGACACTCTGTATCCCTTAATCAATAACTCCCCATTTGCCCCTCCCCTAGCCCCTGGCAACCCCTATTCTTTCTGTTTCTATGACTTTGTCTATTCCGGATAGTTCGTCTAGGTGGAGTGATACAATATTTGCCCCTTTATGTCTGGCTTCTTTCAGTCAGCATGTTTTCAAGGTTCATGCATATTGTAGCCTGTGTCAGACTTTCATTCTTTTTATGGCTGGATAATATTCCATTGTGTGCAGATAGCACATTTCGTTTCTCCGTTCATCTGATGGTGGGCACTTTCCACATGGCCACTGTGTGTGAGCCTTTAAATCTCTGTTCCACACTGGACACTGTTAATTAGCACAGTTGGTCTCAGGGTGACATACGGTTGGGCGATTCCTACTGATGGGATTTGGGAATAACTGGGGACGTTTAAGCCTCATATCAGTGGAGGATTGTTTTAGACCCCCGAGAAAATATACACCCGCAAATACTGTGACTAGAAGGTCAACCTCCCAGTGCTTATGCATCACGACCCCTCTTCACTCTCATCAAGCCCTGGGCATATTAATGTCCCACTTCAGCTCTTTGAAGGAAAGTGGCCTCTCAATAGCCAAGGCCACATCGTCACTGGCATTTGGATCACTCCATCTGTAGGTGAAAATTGCATGTGGCAACTGCGCTGGGAACCATGCCTTTGGAGGAGGTGGCCCAAACATCTTGGTGACAGATATTCAAGAACAGATGACACAGGGGGACAAGCAGGGATTCCAAAGCAGGTGAGGCCACAGCGAGAAGGCGGTGCGGGCGGGGCGCGGCCGGGACTGGTGGTGCTGCAGGTCCAGGTCTGAAACGTTAGCTGTAAATTGAACGGGGAAACTTGACCTCGCTTTCATTCCTTAGCTTGCTCCCCTTTCTGTTGAGTTCTGTGCGGGCTTCGGGTCGTAAATCTCTGAGAGCCTCATATTTCCCTGGAATGGCTCACTATTTGGTGTACACATTTCCATGGTATTCCTCCAGGGCAGGAAGGAGACGGGGCTCGAGGTGGGTGGAAGGGAACGTGCACAGGCCCTGCAGAGCCGTCCAGGGCTCAGGGGACTTGTCTAAGGGCCACCTAGAACTTCAAGCCCCGTTGGAGTCCAACTCTGTGTGGCAGGAAAATTGAGACGTCTGGCTTCCCCCAAAAGAAAACCAGGCATCTCTCCTGTGTGGGGATGAAAGAGGCTTCGCAGACCCTTTGGACGAAAAGTTTCAGAACAACGGCCCCAAACGTGTAAATGAATCAGAAACACATGTATTAAGTTTCTCATCAAAGTACACATGGCTTTAAAAATTAAAGGGGAAGGGAAGGGTTTGGCAGTGCTCCCTCCTGGTTTTTTCCAACCCTCTAGTGTCTGACGACCTGTCAGAGGGATTTGCCAAACCCCAAACATCGCTCGGTTCACCCATCCTTAGCAAAAGCACCAGCTACAGTTTCAAAGTGAAATACCACAAAACCCCTATGAACCAAATTTCAGGTTATGCTGAGTTCAGTTGTGTCTGGGATTATGCTGGGTGGGGGGCCACTGGCCCCTGTGACTCCGGAGCTGCTGGGCTGCAGGCCAAGCCCTCGCCATGGCTCCTGGGTTTGAAAGTAGGAGCTGCCATTCCCCTCCCCGCCGGGCCATTCTGCTGGCCTCCCAGTGCTGGGCCAGCCCCTGCGTCCTCCGGCTGGGCAGCCTTTCAAAGGCCATCAAGCTGCAACGGACCGAGGACCAGACTGAGTGTGAAGAATTCTCCAGTGCATTTCTGGCCCCCTTAATAAGCACCTCCTAGATTGACCGGGGTTCAGAAAAAGACTCAAGACTTTGCTAGGAGTTTTTTGGTGTTTAGCAGGAAGAACTGCAGAGCCTTCCGTGGAGACAGGAAGTCTTCCTCACACCCACCGCCATTCTATTCTACTCACTTCAGGGGAACGTCCCTCCCATCCGAAAGTAGGGGAACATTAGCTTTTGCAGAAGCCGGCGTCTCAGTCTCCCTTCCAAAGTTCCCCGGCCTCCCATCTAGCTGCGTACACCGTCTTCTGTGAAGCCCTCCATTTGTCCCTGGGGTTTCAAAGGTATGTGGATTGAACCACTTGAGAAGACCTGAAATCTCTCTTCTGGGGAGACCCCTCTCTTCCACAGAATTCACCAGGTCTTGGGGTGGGGTGGGGGTTGCTAGACTGGTCAAAGAAATACTAGGAGGGCCGGCCGAGTGGCGCGATGGTTAAGAACTGGCTTGGGACGCCAGAGGGCCCCGGTTCGGATCCCACATATGAGGGCCAGTGACACTGCCCTCCACAGCTAAGATGCTGAACAACAGCTCAACCTGGAGCTGGGCTGCCCTGAGTCGCCGGGGACAGCATAGGCTGCAGCCCCTGTGGCAGTGGGTTGCCATGGGCTACCGTGTGTAGCCAGCAGCCAGCGTAAGGGGCCAGCAGCTGCAGTGAGCGGCCGTCCAGAAGCCGGTGACTGATCTGCCTCACCCGGGAAGAGTGCAGTGATGGTGCCAACTTGGGCCAGTGAAGCAACGTCCTCCACAACTAGACTGAAGAACAAAACGACAGCAACTTGTCTGTTCCCCTTCCCCCAATTCCCCAATAAAAATCTTAAAAAAAAAAAAAGAAAGAAATACTAGGAGACAAAACCAGGGAGAAACCAGTCAGATCCTCCACACTCCTAAAATAACGAACTTGGATGGCCGGGGCTTCTCTCAGCCCACTTGAAGTGGCTCCGGAATCTGGAAAGCGCTGCTCTTTCACGGCTCCTCTCCCTCCGCCCACACCCAGCTGTGGGGCCCCCGGCCAGCCCAGGGCTCCCCTCCCTGCAGGTAAACAGCATTGGTCAGCCTTTGGCCATCCCAAGAGGTGCCCATCCTTCCCCGAAGGGGTTACCTGGACTCTTCGGTCGGAGTTTCTGGAAGCATTAATGGCGACTGTCATGCCAACCCTTGTCGTTTCCGTACCCTTGAAAGGCTCTGAGGTATGTGAATGATAAACTAGAATAATGTGTGTCTTCACCTTCCACCCCTAACCAGGTAGATTTGTTTCTATTCAATACATGGTTAAAATAATCAATTTATGTTATGCATATTTTACCACCAAAAAAAGTGAAAAAAAGAAAGAATCAATAAATCCTAGCTTCAGAACATACAGAACACACACACATTTCTCTGGGGAGCTCAGCCACACACACCAGAAGTCAGGAGTGGGCTCTCTGAACACTTATTCTTGTCTGCATAGCTTAGGAATCTTCTAAGAGGCTAAGAGGCCAAGGGACTCACATTGCAGGGACATCAGCCTTTTTACTTTTACAAATGCTTCATATCTGTCATCCAATTTCATCTTTCTTAGCTGCCCTGTGAGTAGCAGAGTAGGTGGGGCATGGCTGTGTTGGGGTTTTTTTGTTTGTTTGTTTTATTTTTCAGAAGTCCAAACAGGCCGCACAGGCCTGAGGCCTCACGACTTGTGAGGGCTGCAGCCTATCCTAGGGGATGGCCAAGGCCACCCCAGCGCAGACCTCCCCTCCAGAGCAGACTTCCAAGGCCTAGATAACAACAAATCAGTGCTCTGCCTCACTCACCTCCTTCTCTCTCTCTGAAGAGTCTTGAGTTGATGGGAATCCCCAAGTAAGAGAGGAAAGGACAGTTGGGAGAGGTATTTCTGGGGACACTGCAGACTTGACCTCCCAGCCCAGATCGGGTACCTGCTGAGCTTGTGGTCAGAGCTTCCACCCAGGGAAGGCCACCTGTCTTTTCCCAGCCTCAGCCCTGCAGTCGTCTGTGTAGCTCAGATGGCTTCTGATAGCCTGAGCTGGAAGGCCTCCCCGTAACACACACCTCAGTCAGAAACCTTCCATTTGTCCCAACTTCTTGGAGATGCGAGGGAAAATCCTAACATCGTGGGCCTCCAAAAGAGGCTAACTTGTGCCCCCAGTACATATTTCTAGTTCAAACTCCAGTGAGATGATAACAATATAAATAAATAGGATTTTAAAAGTACCTATAAGCTGAAGAAACTGGCTACTCCTGAGTACTCAGGCTGATATTAATTCTTTCAATTCATGACTTGGTTTCACTACATCCTTAATTCACATTCTTAGCACAACTTATTCCTCATTTCATCTTGGTTTAATAGTGTCGCTTTCAGGGGCCAGTTGCCACCATCGGCATCTTCCAGAACTCCGTAGCAACCGCAGGTGCCAAACTCACCTGGAATCCAGGAATATCAGCTTCAGGTCGAGGCTGGCCCTGAACATGAACATGTTACTATGTAGCTTGATCTCGGTGATGGCACTGGGCGGCAGCGACTGGCCCACGGCCACCAGCCCCACGATCTGGTAACACGAGTCGTACAGGGACATGTCCAGCATGTACTGTCTGATTTTCAAGTAGCCGCTGCAGTGGATGACCTGGGAAAGCAGAGGGCAGGGTCAGCCGCCGGAAGCCAGGGGTTAGACTGGCACCCACTCCTCCCAGCTCTGGGCTGCTCGTTTTCTCGGACATGTGGCCTACCCCTCAGCCCAGGCGCTACGGAGCTGCAAGGCTGAATGTCCGAGTCACTGCTCAGGAGAAACAAAGTTGTGCTTCTTTCTCAGAAAACAATAGCATAATAAAATATAAGGGTTGTCTTACTCCACAAGTTAAAGCTCTTTAATATATAACGGATGTATACATAATTATCTCATTGCCAAGTTGCAATTAGAGGGCACAACAAAGGCATTTTGGGGAGTTGACCACTTGTTTCATAATGTTCACTTCAGTAACTATAATGCTTGTCTTCCGAAAGGATTGAATTTGACATCTATTAGCTTGACATTGACAATATATCACTTGAGAAGCTATATCAATTTCTCCGGTAAATTCTGAATTCATTTAGTAGATTAAAAAAAGCTTCATTTTTAATGTATTTTTATTTTATTTATTTATAATTCAAGATTGTATCCCCTTGTAATAAGCAACAAGCCAGAGCGACTACATAGAAACATTTCTAATCATTATAGCCAAAAAAACATACAAGATAAAATGTGTAGCGCTCCACATGTCAAAAGAGAAACATTTGTGCAGCTTAAGCCTCCATATCGGAAGCATTTATCCAAGTTACAGTCAGTAAAATCTTGAAAGGATCACAATCATAACAGCAGGGATGAACAACTAAAATCGTAAATGCTCTTTTCAAAAGCGTTCCTTCAGGGTTCCTGGATGTATGCACAGTCTTTAGAACTGGAACAAATCTTTAAATCTTTCTAGTCTATTCTCCCATTTTACTGATGAGGAAACTGAGAACAAGATAGGTGATAGGTTTTGCTTAAAATTAGACAGACAGTTAATTAGTGGCAAAAACAATTCAAGACCCAAGTCTCCAGAAAAATGTCACCTGGGTGCAGGGCGGTGCTGGGTGTTCCCCGCCCCTGGCTCAAAGAGGCTTAGAGTCTGGGGCAGCAAATAAGAAATGTACCCTCTAAATTATAAAACAGAATGAGGTCAAGTCAAAAAAGCTCCCAGTGGGACGCAAAGGAGAGGCTGACACAGCCCCTGCATTCCAGAAAGAGGCACAAACCTCTCCCCTTTCTCTCCACCTTCCCTCCCTCCTTTTCCAACATGGAAACACCTCTGCTCAAAGGCCCCCATCTGCCTGCAGCTCCAGAGTGCTGGGCTTATGAGACCGGAGACTCCTGGGGGGAGGGGCAGGAACTCCAGAGAGAGGCTGGATGGACCGGTAGAAGCGGGGTGCTCAGCTCGGACTTCGCCAAACCGGCCCTTCCATCTGGGAGTGGCTGACTCTGCTGTCGAGGCGCAGTGTTGCCCGTGGGCTTTTAGGTGACCTACTCCTGGCTTCTGGAGTTAGCCAGAGCAAGTAGCGCTGTCTGGCAGAGAAATTCGGCCGGGAAGGAGTGAGGCCGGGGCTCCAAGGCCCATGCTCTGCCCCCTGAGACTGTCCCTTCTCCCTTCTCAGCTCATGTCCTTGGTTATAGAATGGGGCCATACTCCCCTCAGGGAGCTGCTATGACCATCAGTTAAATGAGATGAGATGCTGCAGATGAAAGCTCCTCTTTGCACGCAGAATGGCTGTATTATTACTGCCACGCACATCATGGATTTGGCTGAACATTGTGAGGGTAAAAGTGACATTTCTGAGCTCTGAATACCCACCGCTGGCCCAGGACCCCTGCCCTGGAATACGGATTCTCCTTAACTCAAGGGGCGGCTGCTCCCATGGGACTGAGCTGTGTGCAAAGTAGGAGCTACAGCTCCCAAGGTCAAATTCAACCCTTTGCCACATTTATTCTTGGTCTCACAGGACAAAATCCAGTCCTCCTAGAATATCCTTGTGCGACGCCAGCTCTCACACCTATCTCGTGAGCAGCGGCACGAGCAAGTTCCACATTAGGCGGTATGAAATGTACATTGGGTCCCTGTGCCTTCCTGTCTGCAGGTGTTCTTGAGTGTGAAGCAAAATGTAAACCAAGGAAGACCCGCAACCGACTGATCCATCCCTCCCACTTACCCCGGCTCCTACCTTATATCCGCTGCACGTCAGGCCCGCGTTTCTTTTCGCCAAGACACACTTCATTCGAAGAAAGAATGACCTCTCTATCTCATACTCTGAAAGCAGGAGTGAGGTCAGGTTGGCCACTGTCCCACGATGCTTCACCATCTTTATCCCAACAATAAACTCTCAAGACCAGATCGGGCAGTCGGAGGCCTTGTCTTAGCAGCCCGGGTCCTCACCCAGGGAACTTCCACCTGAGGCCGGGACTTGCGTGGGGTGGGAGAGACTGGCCCAGTCCTGGCACGGCATCCACGTGCCCCAGAGGAAGGCAGCCCCAAACATGGCCACAGTGAGAACTTGGGAAGTGCCAACCTGGTCAAGGTGAGGACTGTGTGTGCGTGGGCCCCGCCAACCCCAACCAGCCCATGGTCTCCTCAGGGATTCTCTGTTGGAGAACCACCTTGACCAGCGCTGGAGCAGGTGTCTGACCCTCCCAGGAGGGCCCAGAAGGGTAACAGATACTGAGTAAAAGTCAGGAGTCCAGCCCCTTTCCCTAGCAGAGGGAGCCTGCCCCAGGGCACCTCCTGCCAGCCATGCCCATGGGCACCGAGACTGCCCAGCAACATGAAATGGGGAACAGAACCCAACAGACGCATTTGACCAGATCAAAGCTTTCGTCCTCATGTACAGCCCCGGACGGACCCTTCCCCTCGCTCTCGCTCTCCTGCTCGCCCTTTCTCTGACTGGGCCAGTCCTTTCTTTGCTTCCTCCTGCAGGCCTCACACACAGATCTCTGACCTCACTATTGCAAAGGCAAATGAAACACCCTAAGGAAACACCCTCTGCTTTAGTGAGCGACACCAGCTCTCTGAGGCACGAATGACAAAGTGTTCGCGCCCCTGGGTGAGGACGAGGTCACTCCACTCTAAATAAACAGCCATTTGGTTAATAAATTAATTTTTAAAGAAAGGTTACCACTAGGACTGGAAGCAGGCCCTTCCGCCCCTCCCTGGGGCACGGCCTGGTGGGGGTAAGGGGGTCGCCTCCAAGGCCCTCTCTTCCCCTGGTTGGAGAGGCTGCCATATTCGCCCACAGCCCTCCACAGCAGGCTGGTCCACGGGGCACCAGGCTTCCCTCTCACGTGAGGCCTCTCTGTGCCATTTCCAGATACGCACGCTTAGGTCTAAACTACATCACCCACGGATTAACAAGCTCTGGGGAAGACCCATTTCTCACACAATTATTAAAAACAATGGGGCCCGTTCAGACACAGAAAAACAGCTCTGCGGATGAGAAGTTGGGGAGAAAGCCGAGTGCCTGTGAGCTTCAAACCCTGCACGCCTGGCTGGCTGTGGGACTGAGTGGACGGCCCCACTTCCCCGAGGCCTTTTTGCTTCTCCTCTAGTACGGCTGCTACACCTCAGGCTTGAACCCCATGGAAGCTGGGGGTGGAGGGGACTGGTGTTATCCCCAAGATTCATTTGCTGTCACTGTCTAAACACTTTCCTTAAAACTAGGCATGGAAGGGTGGAAGGAAACCAGCGCTAACGGGACAAAGCCCACTCCCATGCAATTGACACACTGTGTAGCTTTTTGAAACAACACAGCATTCAGAGGAATTCTCTAAGACTTCTGCTGTCTTTGTCCAGCTTTAAACGACCCCACAGTGAAAGAATTCGGTTCCAATGCGATGTGCTCGCCCTCCTTCTAAGAGAAATCAGTTCTTCAGAGTCCCTTTTCCCCCTGGGAAACGGTGGCCATGTTGGGACACCATAGTCTAAAGCAGACAGATGTTTGTGCAACAGGCTGGTCGGTCTCATTGGCCTGTCAGAGGGAGTTACAAGCCCAGGGCCCCTGGAATAAGTTCTTCCAAGCATGAATCACAATGGTCATTTAAGGGGTCATTTGTAAGGATGTGTCCACGTCCTTTACTGAACAGTCACACCCTGTCTGTCCTAACAGCGCTTACCACAGCAGGGACCCATCAATGTGTATTAAGTGATGGGATGGGACCGTCAGAAGGAGGGCCTTGTCGCCAGATGGGGCCAGGCCAGTGAGATGGGCCTGCCCCCACCTAACCAGGGCTTCTGAGCTGATCTGTGCCATGGCACAAAACCTCAGAGCCCACTCAGAAGAACATTTTTAGAGAGTGCGTAAAATAAAATACATGAGATTACGAGTAGGTGTATGACAAAAGTATTGAAAAAGTTGTCAAAATACTAAAACAAATAGTGAAGGGGTGGCAAACGTGCTGCTTTGTTACCACATTAAATAACAAGATCCAGGAGTGGCATCGTTGTCACTCAATTTTCAAAATAGCAAAGGTATTAGTGGCAGCACAGTCTACCATCTGCATGCACACGAAATGCTAGTTTTCAACTAGAGGGATAAAGTGTAATTTCCCTCATGCCGCTTCTCAGACCCCAAGTTCTACCCTCAGACCCTTTGGTTCAGAAGCCCACATCTAGACCCGTGTCACGGGAACGCTAAACCCGGAGCACATTAAGGGGAGACGCCTGTGACCACTTTTCTTTATCTCTTTCCCAGCATCTATCACAGTCTCTAGCTCCTGACAGGGGATCAGAAGTATTGCTTTAAAGACGGAGACAGACATAGGGCCAATCCCCACTCGGAGGGGACTGGGTGTTTGCCGGAGGCCTTGGCTGGGCAGCCCTAGTCACACTTCCCTGTGGCAGTTTGGGAAGCAAAGCCCTCGGGTCACATCCGAGAACACCGCCTTGTTTTCACGCTGCTTTCTTTCCACCTGGTGGAAATAAATACCTTGGAGCAGGTGATGGTGAAGAGGCTGGTGGGCTGCGAGGACAGCCGTCATCTCGTCATGGTCGGAAGGATGGATGTATTCGTAAATGCTGTTGCCTGTGAGTTCCACCTACCACAGAAGGGAGGGGAGGGTCAGAAATCCTTTCCAGGGTTGCCAGGGGTGGTGCGTGGGGAGGTCAGGTGTGTGTATCACAGGTCTACACCCGCCAGAGACATCACTTTGATCTCCGCTGACAACCTACACCTTCTCCAAGCGCAGAAACATTGGCCTTTCCTCACACAGCACTTCTGAACTGTCCCCCGACACTTTCCAACAAGGCCAGAGAGCAGAGGTTTGAACTGAAAGCCGAGAGGGTCCTGAGCTGGGAAGTGACGGGTGACAATGGAGCTCCGTGGAGACGGGTGGCCCTGAGGGCCAGGCGGCATCCTTCAAACAGGAGACACAGCTTAAAACAGACTGGAACCCATGTTTCATGCTGCCTGAGGGGACTGGCTGGCTGAGACCAGCTACCATGTCAGGGGTATGGTCCCTGAGAGAGCCTTGTCCACTCACAGGCTGAGGGGCAGGGACTGTGGGCTCCACTGCACTTGAGGAGAACCTGCACCCCGCAAGGCCCTTTCTCCTGGCAGCTCTGCCCCTCAGGCGCTGCCAGGCCCTTTTCACGTGGCCATGTACGTGTCTCAGGCCTTCCTAGTCCGGATGACTGTGCTAACCCCATGGGTCCCACCCATGGGTGCGGCTAGGTGGCTGTGTGCGTGACCTGAAGGAGAGCAACCTGACCCTGGGCTTGGACACCGCCTACTTCCAGGCACACCCCACAGAGGACACCTCAGCAGGCCTAGAGGCCGTGTCCACGTTGGGCAGAACCCTGTTTTCCAGGGATGGGGGGTGGGAGGAGCTCCAGGAAAAGACCATCGTTATGATCTTTACACAGAGGTTCAGTTCCTAAGCCTGAGAAGTTTTCTGTGTTCTCCCAAACACAAGTGTCATGGCAGGGGATGATAGAAAGTCTCAAGACCTGGGCCCCCTCACCCATCTTGAGATGGGCAATGGCATAGAATGTTCTAGAAACTACCACCATCAGAGCCGCCTTCTGGGCAGAGGCAGGCGGATCCTAGTTTAGAGCTGAGGACAGTGAATCGGTGCACCCAGTATTGATCAGGGAGCCCCAGGGCAGTGAGGGTTCTTCTACCACAGTGTGGGAAGAAACCCAAAGTGTGTGAGACACTGCCCTTGGGTGGCAAAGAGCCCCAGCGGGTCTGCAGAACTTTCTCAGCCCTGCCCAAGGGCAGAGGGCAAACTAAGGAGCAAAGGCAGGCTTGCGAGTGCCTTGTCCCTAACCACCCCCTTGTTATTTTTAAGTGTGTTACACCGCGTGTTTCATTGGGAGGCTCATTGCTGTCAATCAGAGCCGGGAGGATGTGATCTCCTGTGAAGGGGCAGCCCTGACTGTGCCACCTCACGCAACAGGACAACCCCAGCCGGAGGGTTTAATGGAGAATTTCTCCACTGTTCCAAATGAGCATCAAGGCCATCAGCTTCTTCCTTGGGACCAAGGGGCCATGGAGCGGTGAAGTAATTTATCCCGCTCCTCCAAGCCAGCTCTCCCAGTTTCTTAAGATGTCTGAGTTGCCTTTTCATTTAGAACAAATTCCATTTCTGGCCTGCTAAGTAACCTTGTCCCTAAAACGGCATTCACAGTTCTATTTTCTGCATCAGTCATAGAATGTTTCTTTCCAATATTATGCAAACAGAGCAATTATCACAGAAACCCTCTCCTTACCCACCTCCCAAACCTGGCACCTTCCTAATGACCCAAATGGATATTTGCCTAGGTAAAAAAATGTATTACATGATTCCATTTTAAAAAATGAGTGATTAAAACTAAACATTCTTCTTTCAAGTCATTCCTGCTAATCCTTACAAAGTTTAAGTACATCAGCAGCATTTAAGTCAGCCATTTGGGACAGGGCCCCTTTTTTTTTTCCCTGAGAGCAGCCAAAGAGGTTTCCTTGGGAAGCTCTGTCAGGTGGAGAGTGGGAAAGGCTAATAAACACGGGAGCTATTTTTTTTAATTCACAATTTCAACGGCTTATTTTAAAAATGAAAAATAGAATTTTTGTGTCTGTGTTGGCTTATCATTTCTCCCTTACTCTCATTTTTAGGGAAAATTGATCATTCTGATTTGCTCCAGGTTCTTATTTAGGAAAAATTAACTAATGTCTTTTTAGAGAAACAGCTTCATACACTTACAAAAAGACTTGTATCTGTGCTAATAGGGATCCCGTTTGCATTTTAATCCCAAAATAGCTTCATCTGTTTTCAAAGACCCCATTCTCATCTCGTGTGTGTTTGGAGAATGACAAGAGTGAAGGTCCATGAATTAAAAGGCTTGATTTTCTGACTATTCGGGTCAATTATAAAACTTGAAGGCTGTCTAGGAAGTAAAACAGTCTTCAAATAACGGAAATGTTTTTAAAGAACAAATTTTGGAATGATAAAACAGTGCTGACCTTGACTCAAAATTATGGTTGACACGGTGTTTCCTGTATTTACATATCTATTCGTGCTTTTGAATGCCGAAAGAAATGTGACTACCTCAAAAAAAAAATTACAGTCGCTGCTATAAAACTCCCCAGGTCTCATACATCAGCCTTATTAAAACAGACCCTCAATGTGATATTTTAGTATTGGTAAAGCCCTGGTAACTACAAAATGAATTGCTTTCCTACTAAGAGCTTTTTTATGTTTTGCTGAATAGCTTTTCTTCCTGCCAAGAAAACTACACAGGATAAATACACACTAAATGGATATATTCTGGGTTGGAAGGGGAAAGTCACCCAGTACTCTGAAAACGCACATTACTTTCTGCTTTGGGTGTTTTGCTGACTATGGTAAATTAAGGATTTTAAAATAAGATGGTTTGGGTTTCAGGGTTCAAGTTATGTCAACAAACATGAAACGCTGTCCTTTCTCTTTATTTCAAAAGTGAAAGGATTAGGTCTTATGGCCCTAAACAACGCTATGGCCACTTTTACAGTTGTGCTTCCGGCTGCAAGCTCAAATATTCCGATTTCCTTCATATGTGTTTCATACATATCTATACTTACTGGAAAATGTATATTAGTTACCTAGATGCTACATAATGTATGTAACTCTGGTAAGGAAATTTAAACCACAAGGATACTTAAAGATGTTTGAGGAAATACATAGCAGGTATACAGAGCTTTTTTCCTTCTTCAAATATAAGTAAGTTCATTATATTAACCAAAAAACCATAGAACTAAATCATTTCATAAACTTGTATGAATACAGCGTGCTTCCCCAACTCTACCTCTTCCAAATAGATATAAATTTGTCTATATGAATTATTATGTATTATGTATATGTGTATACACTAAACAGAATTTTCAAGCCGGAAGCTTGACTCTTTTTCCCAATACTTGAATCATAGTTCCGAGGAGAAAACTTGCATTTTTGTGGTTTTCTCTGTCATTTTTTGGCGTGAGAGTCTGACGTCAAGGATCTGTGTTCACTCATTTAAAAGCAAAGATAAACTAATAAACTCTGCATATAAAGTAGATTTCTTATTCCAGCACTTTTTTTTAAGTTTAATAAAAGGCTTTGAATTGAGATGGGCATATAATACAGAACCATTTTTGCCCCTTCAAACATATGATTCAGATAGTTATTTAGATAGTTCAGGTTAAAAAAAACCAAAACACCACTTTGCTGTGAATTATCACACAATCGTGGCAAACCTAGGAAGGGGCTTATGTTCTCTAGGAGCTGCTAACATAGAGTTTAACCCAGAATTAATGTGAAAGGTGTCATTATTTAATGAGATAATGTCACTGAGAGTAACTGAAAGTTCTTAGAACGCAGAAGGGCGCTATGTAAACATAAGCTATTACTACTATCGTTATTCATCAGAAAACCTGTTTAAAAGGTTACTCTGGCTACTGGGTAAAATCTTATTAACATTTTTGTCTCTGGTGATTTAAAAATAAAATCTTTAAGCCTATTTTAATACAATTTTCACATTGGATATATTTGCCTGACTTTTTACTACTAATAAAAATAATCTAAAAGGTGCAAAATATTTTTTAAAAAGAGAAGTTGGGCTGTTTGACATCCTTTTCAATACTTTATTTTACTATTTAAGTAAAGAAGACAGACAAAAATACACATTGTGATTCTGCCGAGATTTCCTTCTGCGGAGTTAATCGTGAACAGGAGGCAGGTTTGAGGGGAAAGTTTGTTGTTGCTTATTTAAATAGTTCAACATGGAACACTCCCCAGTCACTAACAAGGGTTCTCGTCTGCATTAAAGTGTTTTTGTAACTGAAGGCTGATATTAAAACAGGCCTGCCAAGAAGAAGGACTAAATCAGTCCTGCACAGTTTCCCTTATCTTTTTTTTTTTTTAATCGACACTTCTCCTGGCAACCTACAGACAAAAGACATCTCTATAACTTTCTCGGAAAATGGCAATGTAGAAGGCCCTCCCCTTTCAAACTTATGAGACAAAAAATATATAATTTTAATTGTGATTCTGCTTAGGTTTCCTTTTGTGGAGTTAATCATCCCACAAAATAGGAGGCATGGTGGTCGCCTAGCCAATATTCTGGCTGCTCTTAATTAAAGAGAAAAATAACTGGGAGAGAGGTGTGGGATGCTAGATTGAGCAGCCTGACAGAATGAACTGGAATGTGCTGGTTTGTGCATGGTGCCTTAAGTATGATGTGCCAGGACATTCCGAATGACTAAGAGCCCTATATTTGCCCACCAAAGGACGCTATTTCAAGCAACTTTTGTAGCTATTTGAAGTACAATGCTAATGAAACTGTGGTGATGCCTGGGTTTTGTGTAGCTCCCTATAGTTTATATATCACATAAAATGGGCACTTTGAGTTGTTTCTTACCACGGTCCTAAAAGAGGGGTAAAGCACGCATTATTTTCTTATTTAAGTTATGGTTCAGGGAGGTTAAGTGCCTGCCCTATCAAACAATGAAAACCATGTAACTGAATGTATTGGGTTGTTGGAAAAGTCATGGTGTATTTTTTCTACATTTTTCGTTGCAAAAATGCATCATGACTTTTCTGACAACCCAATATTTCCCTTTTCACTTTGACTGCTAGGGAGCTCAGATCTAAATTTAGTATTCCACAACAGTGACTTTACCTATTCTAAAATATGTTTGGCCAGTCATTTTAAAAGTATGTGAAATGTTTTGTCTTATTTGTGACATTATTATGACTGCTCAAAGGTTTTATAGATTATAATTGAAAAAGTTAAGCAATCTAATCAAGGTCAATCAGCCACAGGCCAAGCCAGGAGTAGAAACCAGGCTGTGTACAACTAAAGGGTCTTAAATAATTCTAAATAAGGCATGGTGGAAATTCAGAGAATAATAACTTTGGAAAATATAAAAAATAGTAATTTTCGAGTAGCTGGTTAGCTCAGTTGGCTAGAGCATGGGGTTGGTAACGCCAAGGTTGCCAGTTGGATTCCTCGCATGGGCCACTCTGAGCTGCACCCTCCTTAAAAATAAATTAAAATGTTCAGTTTATATCTGAAGCTGATGTTGAATAATATTGTATGTCAACTATAATTATATATACATATAGTCACGGGACATGGAGTAGAGAGTGGGAATGGAGTCAATGGAATTGTAATAGATAAGCATGATATCGGGGGTGGGAGGGCAGTAGATGAGGGGAGGAGTGTTGTTACTTTGTGAGGGTGAAAAGGATAACTATTGCATTGTTCTGTACACCTGAAACTAACAATAAAATTTTTTTAAAAATAGTAATTTTCATGTTCAAAACAGTATTTCCCGATCTACAAGTATACTAATCCCATGAGTCACATAGGTGTAAGAGCCACGCCTTCGTAAATCTTATCTGGGAGACCTGGTTTCATAAGAGAAGAAAAGAGGAAGGGAAGAGGAAACACCAAACAATCTGAATACGAGAATTCACTTTAAAAGACTGCACAAGAAATGCATTGGCACAGGGATAAGAATACACACACACTGGAAGAGACGGCTGTAAACAAATGAGTTTTAAAAGTTTTTTAAAAGTATAGGCAGAAAAAGAAAAGAAATACACCAGATGCAGATTTCCAAATTGGTAATATTGTTTTTCAGTGAGAAAACTCAAGCCACGTTAATTGGCATGTTTTATTTTGGCTTAACTACATAAGAAGGCTGGTGCAGCACAGATTATTCACATGCCTCCTGGGAGCCCATTTCCTGTATCTAATTAATTCTAGTGTGATGGAAAAGAGCACTCTGATAATTCACAATGTAAAGAAACACTTAGTCCCTATATGTATAAAGAACATGACGTTTAGAGCCACGATCCCCACTTGTTAAATCAGAAATGCGAATGGCAACAATCAGTTAGGCTCCCCCCCCATCGGGACCCACTGGCCATCGGCCCAGACTGCAGCCAACTTTTCCACCAAACCGTCACCTGGACCGGGATAGATAAAGCTGAGTGAACCTCTTTTCTCTAGGGGATGAACCCCTTTTAAGAAAATGTTTCCAGAAAAATCAGTAATATGTAGATGTTCTAAAGAAACCAGGACCTTGCTGTGCAAAACAGTAGTAAACTGAGTTTTATGAGTTTCTATCACAAGCATATAAAATGCTTTACTGAAATGTCCACTGAACTGGAAAAACTCAGGAAAAATTACCCTGAATTCCATGTGAACACTCATAAATCTACACCCCCCCCTTTTTCTCTCCCCAAAGCACATTCTCCATAAAACCCACGTTCTATCTGCATCAGTTTTCCTCTCGCTTTCACAGCGGCTCACAATACCACGTGCAGGCCATCAAGTGCGGACTGAAAAGTCTCCCTTTGTGAAGCGCTTGTTAGTGCCAGAGAGTGTTACATACAGTATTAGCAGAGTCCAGGCTATCGAGCGGAATCTCAGAACAAGGCTGACTGTTGCAAAGATATACCAGCCATTAACCCCAGAGGAAAAAGAAAGTAAAAAAGTGAAATGTAACACGGACAAGAAAAGGCCTGCGGGAGGGTGTAAGAAGAGGATTTTGCAATTTGGGATTATGTTCATGCACAAAAGCAGATGCTTGAACAGGCTCATTTTCAAGTTGGGTAAGGCTGGCAAGACCTGCCAACACTTAATATTTTGGTTGCACATAAAATTAAGTACTACCCCATAAAAAAAATAGGTACTACCTACCTGGGACAAGCCTAAATGTACAGAGGCTGTTTCCGATATATACATGATTTTGCCATCAGATGCTACCACAAAAACAAATCCATCCAAAGTCTAGAAAAGAAAAAGTGTCAAGGTAAGAGATGATAAGCTATCCATTCGAGTTAAATCTAATTAATTATACTGTCACTGGGATGGAGAAATGTATAAAATATTATCATCAACACATATTTATCAAATGTGAAAAACAGAGCCCAGGGCCAGAAGGACTGTAAGTCACAAGGTTTAGTTCCCGCACCAGGCTCTCAAATGCTTTCAAAGCATTTTGAAAACAGTCTTACATCCACATCACAAAAATCATGCAAAACATTTGAGAATTCCTATCATACCCAGTTTAAATGTAGTAGCTTTATTGTTGAGGTTATTTTAGCACTTAGCACAAATCCGGAGTTCTATGGTACTTAGGGGACAATCTACCACTATATAGACCATTTTATGTCATAATTGGCAGTGTTTATACCACTATGACATATGCTTTATTTGCCACAATTTTCTAGTTACCCTTAAGTACCATTTGAATAATAAATTCTGATCACTACCATTCTCCAGAAAAGAAAATACCGGGTTATTTCAATAGACTGTGTCTACAGAGTTATTTAGAATTTGCAAGACATCAAATAACCTTTGCAAAATTCAAGGAGAAAAAGTATGAATTCTGAAAAATTAAAACTACCTAAATGATATTCTGATTTTGCCTAAGTTGGCTAGCCCTCAAAAAAAAATAAAGTAAAATTATAAGAGGTGATTAAGACACACAAAAAGGTACTGATTAAATTTATGTGTGGCAAGGATAAAAAAGACTAAATTATTTTTGAAAAAGAAAACTGCATTTTATTTACCCATTCATATTTTAGATCCAGAACCAAAGAAAAGCAATAAAGTTGGTGAAAGATCCATACAACCTACAATGCTGCCCCCGTAAAAAATATTCCAAATTAATTTCTGGCCACAAATTCTATTTTTACGGCATGTAATTGAAACCAGGTTACCTTTGGGTTGTTGTTTTTTTTTTAATCTGCCTCCTCTTTGGAGGGGGGCTAAAACGAATGTAGTAGAACTGAAACTTGAAAGATATCCTTACATTCTGCTATCTCAAATCCAGTTTTGCTGCAAAAATTCTTTGCCAGCTAAACGATCATTACCTTTCCCGATGCCGAGGTCAAGACCAACATCTTGATTAGAAGCCTTACTTTCACATTTCTAACAGCCACGAATTTTTTCCCCAGCTAAACTCCGTTGCAAAAATATAAACTACACAGCAATGTCTAAAGTTATAAACGTTTTGGCACATTTTTGCATTCTTGCTGAACTCCAAAATCATTAAAGAAATAGCACTGACAGGGAGCCATATGAGTGCAAGAGAAAAATTATCATAATCAAATTCTGAAAGTTGCCAGCAGTAGCTAAAAATAATATTCTTAATGGAAAATGTTGGGTATGCCTTCATAGCTTCACATTTTGCTTGCACGTATATGAACTGCAAAGACACTCATCCACACACACCACTGCGGAATTAAAGAAATGTACAGTGGATGAACCTGAGAATGTTGACTTTACCTGCTAGGTTTTCACTGGAGTCCGCGGGCACTTAGTTGAGCCTGATATTAGTGTCACTTACAATATGTAGGAGTATCTAACAACCAAACTACGGTGCTCGGGGCTGGAGGTGAGCGGAGAGGGAGCGCGCAGGCGGCGCGGGAAGGACTCCAAGAGCACCATTACCCAACCGCCCTGCTGCCGCACCAGTTGGCTTTATATTGTAAAAGCTTCAGGTTTCGAATATTCCCCGGATCTTCTCTTCCCCAGAGCACGAATTTTAAAAAGTAAATCACCCTAGGACATTCGGGGCAAAAGAGTTTTGAAAAGATCTGCTTTTTCGAAATGCGGAGCTCGTGGCTGACTCTGACCCAAGTCACTGCGTCCCGCCGCCAACTTTTTTTTTTTTCTTTTAAAGAAAACACAAAATAGAGGGAGGAAATGCAAAATAGCTCTCGGCAGGCATTTTTTGATGGCAGAGACAAATGACGTGAGGGGGGAATGAATCGGGTCGTTGATGAGGTTCTGTAAAGGGCATTTGAAAGGCTGAGACCCGAGGCGTTGCTGTCCCCATCTAGCTCCAGCCACCGACTTGAAATTGGCCGGTCGTGCGCACGGTTACCCGGCCCGCGCCCCAGACACTGCGGGGCGAAATCCGAGGTCAGGGGCAGCTGAGCAACCGCGGGGCTGAATGGCTCCCGGATGGCGGCGCTGAGCCGCTGACCACAAACCAAGCAAGGGCTCCCTCCGTGAGCCAGATGACCCCGAAGGCCGCACCTTGTCGTGAGCCAGACCACTCAAGAGCTGGACCACTTTGGTTGAACCCGGCTCCGCCGCTTGCCGTGTGACCTAAGGCATCTTGCTTAACCTCTCAGTGCCTCAGTTTACTCCTCTGAAAAAAAACGGAGTTAAAACTAAAACCCATTCTAGGGGAGCGGTGAAGCAAGATGATACAGTAAGGTTTAGAACAGAACCTGGCCCGTAGTAAACGCTCAGTAATGGCAACTATTAATAGTCTATTATTCACGCTGGCCTTGATGGCAACCCTTCCAAACACACACAATCGTCAGACGCTTGAGAGCCGCCGTACTCTAGCTCGGAGCGTCCTGACCGTTCCTTCTCTGGCTGCACAGCCTGGCACAGCGCCTGGCACAGAGCAAGCTCTCCATAAAAGTTGGTTGGGGGAAGTAACTTTGGAAAGGATAGCACGCCCGGAGGCGCCCTCGGGCCGAGGGGGAGAGAGTCCTGCAGCTGGGGGTCTCGAGGTGCGGAGTAGGGGTGGGGCGCCCCAAGTTGTTCTTTTTGAGCTGAATCCACACCGGTCCCTGCCCTGGGGGTGGAACGGGGGAGGGTGGGGGAGGGAACCGCTCGCCCCGAGGTCCCGGCGCTGCCTCTCACCTCCGGGCGACCTCTGCAGCGTGGTGGCGGCCTACGGATCCACCCGGAGCTCCTTGGGGAGGAACACCTCGAGACCGGGATGGCGGGGTCACAAGGGAGCCCCACCCCTGTTCCAGCCAGCACCCTAGGCTGTGGCGGCGCTCCTCCCCTGGCACGGCGGTCCTACCTGCAGCAAGTGCGACCCCAGCTCCTTGGCGACGCTGTCCAGGGGCCCGGCGCGGCTCGGCTGTCCCCACGCGTCTCCTAAACCTGGACCAAGGAATAAAGAAAACCAGTAAACCGCAGCGCCCAGCCAGAGGCCGAGGCGCGAAGCAGGGGACATGGAACCTCGGTGCGCCGCACCCTGGTCGCCCGTGAGGCCCGAGTGCCCCCCTTGTCACCTCCCGGGCCCCCGCAAGCCGCCATCCTGCCCTCGCTGTCTTTCCATTTTGCCCTCGATTAGAAAGAAAAAGGCCAAAGGATAGATTCCCGCAGAGGCCTTGGGTCCAAGGGCGCGCACTGAGCCTGCCTGGCCCATAGCTCGCGTGGGTCGCCCACGTGCTCACGGCTCTGAAATTGCCATTTTATTCGAAATGCCACAAAGTAATCCAATCTGCTTTGAAATCGGCCATCCTCGTAGCCAAACGGGGATACTGATTTGACCCATAAATATTTCCCCAAGGACCCTCCCTCCTTTCCCCGCATGGCCCGTAACTATGCATTTTCCCAAAGACCGAAAAGCCCTCGCCGTCCAGGAGGCAGCTTTTCCTGCATTTAAAAAAAGAGAGGGAGGGAGGGAGGGAGGGAGGAAGGAAGGAAGGAAGGTAGGAAGGAAGGAAGGAAGGAAGGAAGGAAGGAAAGTAGGGAACGGGAGATCTTTTTCAACTTCACATAACTCTCCTCGGACTCGCCAGCCGGGGAGCACCGACCCGGCTTCCAATCCTAGAGTAGCAGCCTGGGGACGGTTTACCTGGGGGCTTCCCAAGGGAAAACTCCAAACTGCGCCACTGGCCGGACGGGGATGAGCCAAAGGCGGTGAGAGCCCCCTATATTCTTGGCAGTAACCGGGAGGTGTGTGTTATCACAAAATAATTGAGGCTCCCCAGCCCCCCCCCCGTTTCCTAACTGCTCACCCAGGCCTCCTGCTTCGCCCCATCACCTCCCCGACGACCACCAGTGTTGAGAAAACGTTCCCAAAGAAAGGCCGCCCTGCCCATCAGAGCCTCCCTCTCCTGCGCCCGAGGCTCAGCGGCTACGACCCCGGAATTCTCCGGCTTTCCCTGGCGGGCTCGGGAGTTAGCAGGAAAGCCAGGTGAAGTGGCGGCGCCAAGCGCCACCTGGTAGAACCCCCAGTCGGTTCCTGGAGTCCTTCCGCTGGGGGCCTGGCCAGCTAGCCTCCAGTTAGCGCCGCGGCACCGTGCGCGAGGTGGCAAGGCCAGTGACCCCTTCGTGAAAAACGCGTCCCCAGGCTCCGGATCCACTCGAGCGCCGCACACCCTCAGCTGCCGACCGATGCCTGTCGGCTGTGGGCCCCGCTGGCGCGCCTGCCTCCTCCCTGGTGAACTGCAGGCCAGACCGGCCCCCGGCCTGCTGAGCGCCGGGAGGCCAGAGCTGAGCACTGGGGCAGGGAACCTCGCCCAGCCATTGCTAATTTGGGGACCAGTCCCGGGACCACAAAGCTCCTCTAAGGGTAGCAGCGAGTGAGTGGACCAAGAGTCGCTGAGCAGACACCCTGGGTCTCCCCACTGTCCCTGCAGGAGCCGGGCCACACAGCTTCCAGGGGCTTTGACCCCAGGAGGTGGGAAACGCACCCCCAGCCTGAGGGAGCTGCCCTGTCTCAGAGCATGTGGGGACCCCCGCCCCACCCCACCCCTCCCCCGCAGAGGCTTTGGAGACCTCTCTCCAGCCACTTCTGTTGGGCAACTAAAAAAGGGATGACTTTTAATTTCT